TAGAACAACTTGATGAAAATAAACATAGTTTTTTACGGGTTTGTACTTTTTTTTTATTTAATTGAAAAGCAAAAAAAAATTTTTTTTTTCGATTAGGCATGTACAGTTGCTCGTCAAAAATCCGATTTATTTCATAAATATGCACTTCGTAATGCAGCTAATTTGATAAAACCTGAAGCTTATTTAAAACCACTTGAACAAAAAATTAAAAGTAATTAAATATTTTAAAAAAAAAAGGTTATTATTAAATATATAAATTTTTTTTTCTCTCTATGTAGATGTTTCAACAATATTAAAAAATAAAGAAGATACAGTTTTAAATGCTTGGCATCATAGAAAAAAAATTATTGATGAATATTTACAATATATTTCATTTAAACGTAATACAGATAAAGTTTTTGTATGGATTGATGAACATGATGAATGTTTCGTATCAAAACTTGAAGAATTAGATATTAATGATGATGGTTATATGGATTTTGTTCGTGCACTTAAGGTTTGTTTATTCAAATGCATGTACAATGATTCGAAGATTCTAAATAATGATTTAAATAGTGATAACTTGGTATTCAACACTTAGAATCCCAAAATAAAGAAAGCTCGAAGACTAGCGGATTGGTCCAGATCTGAAAGTTTTGGATCCAACAGGCTCTATCGGAGATATCTTATTTTTTTGGGGTACTGAAAAACAAGATCATTATTTAAAATCTTTATGGTAGTTACGATTAGGAAAAAAATTGAAATTAAATCTGTATGATTAGTTTTTTTTTGGAGTAAAATCATAAATGTAAAGATATGCAAGTTTAACAAATAAAACAAAATCATGCCTTATGATATTTCTATTAATAAAAGAATTGTTTTATTGATCTAGTTTAGATACAACAAGAATGATATATGGGTAAAATCAGCGAAAACGGGACATTCCCCCATTGCATTTGAATGCAATTCTCTATCAGTATAGATGTTTTGAGTGAATTGTTTTTGCATAGGCTTATGTAAAATTGTCTGCTCTTTCATATGATTATTAATTAATTAATTAA